CAATTGCAAAAGGTCAAATATATATGTATGTACATAGGGTGCACCTACTTTGGGTCATAAGAGGAAGAAGTAGCATCAAGAGTAGTAGTAAAGATAATAGTAAAAGTATCATTATTCGTAATAATGGTAGCAACTACTACAGATGTAAATTATAGGAGGAATTGTAATAGTAGTGGGAGTACTAGCAATCGTAGTGATAGAAATAGTAGTAGGAATAATAGAATTGGCTAATAGCAGTAATGGCAATAATAGTGATAGAATATAAGTAGAAGTAGTAGTAGTAGACATAGTAGTGGTGATGACAGTGACAGTAATAGTAGTAGACATAGTAGTAGTATTGGCAAAAATAGTAGTAGACATGGTAGTGAGTGACCATAATAGTAATAGACATAGTAGCAGTAATAGTAGTGACAATGATAGTAGTGACAATAATAGTAGTAGACATAGTGGCAGTAATGGTAGTACTGGCACAAGTAGTGGTACAGTCAACGTCAAAGCAGTAGTAATAGTAGTAGTGGCAAAAATAGTAGTGACAGTCAAAGCAGTAGTAAGGGTAGTAGTGGGAGCAATAGTAGTAGACATAGTAGTAGTAATGGTAGTAGCGTGAATAATAGTAGTAGCAATGATAGTAGTGACAACAATAGTAGTAGTCAAAATAGTAGTACTTGGAACAATAGTAGCAGACTTAGTAGCTGTAACAGTAGTAGTAGTATTGCCAATGATAGTAGTAGTTAAAGCAATACCAATGGGAATAGTCGTAGTAATAATAGTAGTAACAGTAGCAGCAATAGTAATACCAGCAGTTGTAGTAACAGCAGCAGTCCTAACAGTAGTCGTAATAGTAGTAATTGTTGCAGTAGCATAAATTTAGCAGTTGGCAAACTGGAACTGGAAATCAATTGATGCGACAGCAGGAGGTGGAGCCGAGATCCGATTTCAGACCTGTTTCATTCACTGCATTCATGCTATTCGCCAAGAATAGTCGCTAACTGGGTCGGGGGCAATGAAACGTAACTGTTTCGCATAAATGCATCCAACGGGCAAGCGGACAAACGCGATTCCAATAAGAATTGCATCTTTACGATTTGCAAGTATTCGCAAACCAGTCAAATGACGTCAATTTGAAGAGTTCCGAGTCGATTCGTGAATCTAGTTCTGGATTGCTCCTCAGTAGAGGAGCAGTGAGGCTTGGCATTGGAATTTTACAGGCAGAAAATATTGAATATACATTAAGCAATTTCACGCCCTTTAGTTAATGCGAACTTGGGACGATTCATAATCAATTGAATCGAAGATTTCATGTATGTATTTTGCCAATTGGATGTATTTAAATTTTTCTTTATGATAGCTCCATTAGTTGCTCTATAAAAATATCGATTCAAGCGATATTTTGAATAATTCAAAGGAATTAATTTGCTTAGCTGCAATCATTTGAAACTCAAGAGCATTCGATCGTCGTTGCTTTTGATGCCTTTAGGTTTCTTTTGATTTTGTTTTGCTTTGGAATTCGAATCGTTAATGTGCGTGTGTTGTTTCTCTTGGTTGCTTGGTGGAATTTTGTTTGTTTGTCTGGTTGATTGGTTGGCCAGTTTGATGGTCTCGTGGCCTGCTTTAAAAGAAGGCAACATATTGCGCAATTTCGCAGCTATTTCTTATCGATGTTTCTGCGTTGCTGTAACTCCGGTGCAGCACCAGCACCGGCCAGCACCGCAAAAGAGAGTGTAGGGGGGCTCTTCTAGGCAAGAATTTATGGCTAAAAATAACGCACACAATTAGGCGGCCGCAAAGTTGGGCGGAAAAAACAGCAGACAACTTCTAAAAGCAGACATTACCCAGAGTGCGAAGGCTGCTTGCACTGGGATATGACTCGCAATGGGTTAGCTGAGCGGGTGTGGAGGTGTGGGGAGTGGTGCTGGGAAAATGGGGGTAACTCTAATATAGAGGAGTGCCACGTCTATGCAGTGGGTGTGTTCATATTACTTAACCCAAGTGCCCCATTAAAACGGCAAGCCATTAACTTAATTAACTAAACTAAATAATGAACGCAAAACAAAAACCAAAACAACAACAACAAAATCAAGTTAGTGTTTTAGAAATTCCACCCACAAGTGTGAAAAATAGATGGAAACTGAGCAAATAATTGAATTCTTCTGAACATATGTTCGGCAGAGTATACTCTATATATGCATATATACATATATTACTCTATATTGAATATAATCCAATTCATAGAGGTATTCGAGAGTTTAATTTGGGAATAAATCGGTTTTCCGAAACCCCAAACAGCTGTTCCTCCCACTCACTTCACGGTTCAGGCTCATCTCAGGCGCAAATATTTATACAAGACTTTGGCAAACAAGCGAAAGAAACAGATATTCGTATTATTTCGACGACTACGAGAAGCGTGGTATGAATTGGACAACTGTCGTTGGCTTGCACCTGTGGGGGGATGAGCGGTGCGGTACGGCCTGGTATGGTACTTTTATCAATCTAGAAGAAAGCAAACAATGCCAAAACACAGACAGGCGAGAGCAAGCTGGCGACGGATTTGTTTATTAATTGACGTCAACGTCTTTTTATAATCATTCAACGGCTTTGTCGTGGAGCTTGAGTGCCGTACAACATTTTTAACTGGCATTCTCTATATACATATGTATGAATATGTATGTATATAAGCCAAACCAGTTGTAAACTAAAAATAATCGAATCGAACCGAAACAAATTTCTCTAATTCCTTGAAGGGCATTAGATATGGGCATAAATATATAGTAGTTCACGAACCGGTTTCAAAGAACCAAAACCCTCGACAAGTTTATGTGGTAACTATGGTTACTGTTTGATAGAATATAAATATATATGTATATTATATTAAAGGCTCGCCTCCTTGAACTAGCTCTAATGAACTAGGGCCAAGCAAGCTCCAAAGAACCACCGCTGCCCCGATTTACACACTTTACTTTTGTCTTCTCTATCTTGCAACGTGTCATTATATGTTTGCCAATATCTCTAAGTCGCTGTTTCGTCAGCTGCAGTAAAATTAGTGATAAAACAGACAGACCCACACTTATCTTCATAATGAGCGCATACCGGAACATGTGATTCACCTACCCTACATTTCATTTTCATTGCGTTTACCTGGATAGATCAAAGTATTAGCAAAAGAGCATAAAAGTTTCGTTGATTTGCTGGACTTCTTGCATATAGAAGCACACACACACACACGCATCTACGTATGTACATGTATGCGTGTGGCGAGCAGCGGCAAAGCTGCGAAGTTCCGCAAGTTCAAGGTGGAGAAGCAGACGCAAAAGGACAAACAAAAGTAAAAGCAAATCGACAGCAGCCTAATTGGTGATGACAGTGCTTTCAAGAATAGTTTATCGGTAATTATGTGTGTGTGTGAGAGCATTTACAATGTGTGCCTTATCAGTGTATTTATGTACATATACATACAAATATACAAAATCGTGTGTGTGTGCGCGTTCATTATCTGCTTTTTCAGTCGTGAGCTTTTCAACATTTCGTGAGTCATTTACCTATTCATCTGTGCAATTACATACATACATGAATAGATATGTGTGTGTGCATGCAGCCTTATACATATGCAAATTCTCACACACACACACACATGCAATTCATACAAATACACATGTTTACTTTAATTGTGCAATATGCAATATTTGCAATTGACATTCATAATTAAAAACAATATTAGCAAACTAATCTATGAAGGAGAGAGCGAGAGAGAGACAAAAAGCGAGCACATGACAGAGACAGATCGTGGTTTTTGACGTAGATTTTTGCCATTTTGTCACGATTGCAATATTTTGCGCTGATTTTTCATTGACATTCAGCCATGAAGAAAGCAAAACAAAAACGTAAACATGTCCAATCCGATGGGCAAGAGCACCAAAAGGCCCACTAAAATGCACACACGCACATACATATCTATATATGCACAGTTATATTGATATATACATACATACGCATGTGCACGTATGTGAAGGAATGCGACAAAGAAGAAAAGGCGGAATCAAAATAAATCAAATATGCGCGCCATGCGCTATTAGCAAATCAATCAACAAAAACAAGAGAATGTTGGAGAAGAAGCCAAAAACGAAAGAGCGAAAAAGGGGTAGAGCGAATGTATGTGTGTGTGTGTTTGTATTTATTTGTTTGTGGGTGCGACGGTGTGAAGTTAGAATTGCGAGTTAAAAATGTTCGTGGATTTTAGACACGCGCGGTGAGTAAGCGAATGAAAAAATATTAATATAAATAATACAAAAAATGATCGCATTGAGGCAATGAAAATGGCAAATGGCAAGTAAATACATAATCTTATCAACGTAATTCACTGATACTGCAATTGTGTCGAGATAAAGCATAGACAAACAAAAAGAGAAAACCTGGCAGCAATCGCAGAGGCAGCAGTAGCAGCGGGCAGAGCAGGGGTCATGCGTTCAAAGCGTCGAAAAAAGAAAAAGTGAAATTTTAAACAAGATGTTGAATAGGTTACAATGGTTTTCACCACGAAAAAAATAAAAATAAAGCACACACACACAGAGAATCTCTACTACAAACATATGCACGTACATAACTTATGTACATGTCTGTGTAAGTTAATATTGTTATTCTTTTAAAGTCCCAATCGTCAAAAGACGTCAACAAAAATAAACACAATGCGTAATTTGACCAATTAATAGTATTTAACAGCAGTTCAATTGGCTTTGCGCTTAAGTTTTACGATTTTTTAAACCTATAAACACACAAACACATACAGAGGTAGGCATACAGGCTGTCAATGTAGGCACATACACACACACACACACACACACACACACACACAGTGACAATAAGTAAACCAGTTTGACGTTAAATGTGATATTTTAGGAGCGTCTTGGTAGTAGCCCCTCTCAAACGTTATTTATGCAACGGCACTCTTGAGTATCACCAGCTGACAGGAGAGATAGAGATAGTGAGTGAATAACACCTGCACTTACCAGTTACACTGCAATGTGTTGGACTCCACATAACGGTTAGCACCCTTTTGCGATTTGGCAAAATAAAAGCTCCTTGCTTGACTTTTAAAGTTGTATTGGATTAATATTATTGTAGAGCTGTTTGAAGGGCAGGGGCGCTGTTGTCTGTTGTTTTTATTTTGGTTTTCTTATTATTTATGCACTTCTGCGCATTAATGTTTAAATTAACGCAGCAACAAATTATTCACACACATATACACTACTTTAGACGCGTCGCGTATGGTAAATATATATTTTTTTGAATAGCAACAAAAAAAAAAGAAAACGCTTACAGGCCACACGCGCCTACCCTGCAGCTCTGTTGTTTGAGATGTCTAAAATGAAACTGGCAATCGATGCCCCCACTATCGATATGATCATATTGATATACCACTAAAAAATACCAAAAGCGGCTGGTCCGTTATTGCTGACAGCATTGCACGCCAGTGCTATCGAAATATTCGATAATCTCCATTGCAACAGTGTGGTCGCAACTCTAAGGCAGAATTAAATACTGTGATGCATGTTAATGTTTAAATAGCGGCGTCGGTTGTTGCAGTTGTTTGCATAGTGTATTTAGTTGTATTTGTATTGTTTTTGCATCAGATTGTAAATTTGTTAAATAGAATGGAGCCCATGAATCTTGGCAGTCCCGTCAGCAGTCCTGGCAGCAATCAAAGCCAATATTTGCCGCCTTTTCTCATGGGCGACTCACAGGCAATGACGCCCCAAAACAACACGCTCTCTCCAAAGCTAGGGCGGTATAATATGAACTTCGGTATGCATTTAAAGAGCAGTGTGGTTAGAGAACCATATGCAAATGATGTATAATTGTTATTTGCAGCTACGTCTCCAAACAATAACACTCCCCAGGATACGAGCTACAGTAATCCACAGCAACTAAATCGCTCAGCATTGGGGACCCGTACCTTATTTGCTGGTGGCACCAGTGGGCCTGCTGGTGGTGGTGGTAATGGCGGGAGTGCCAGTAGCGCAAACACTAGTCATCAGGCTGGTCCACCCACTCAGGGTCTATTCGATTCGCTTCGCAACGAACAGCTGTGCGGCACGCCACACCGCACACATCTGGGCATTCTGCAGACATCCCAGCTGAACAGCTCGAACTATAGCTTGAATCAAAGCTGCCAACCGCCAACCACGCAGCTGAATGACTCGTTCGTGCCAAATGCACCCAATGCTGTCAACGCCTCGATGCGTGCCCTCTGCTCGCCGCTGGGTGCTAACATGTCCCCGTTGAACATGTCGCACACACCTCAGGCACGGAATAGTGATTTTTGGGTGACTATCTTTGGCTTCGCACCCGGAGCCAGTTCCATGATACTGCAGCACTTTACCATGTGCGGCACAATTGTGGATGTGGTGCACGCCCCACAGAACGGCAACTGGATGCACGTGCGGTTCGCGTCGCGTATCGAGAGCGACAAGGCATTGAATTACAATCTAAAGGTGATTGCCAACAACGTCATGGTGGGCGTCACTCGTTGCACCGACGAGAGCGTCATCAACAAGGAGAACGTGAAATTAGCGGAATCAGAAGCAGATGCATTCAGACCGAAGGTGCGATCGCTGACACAGCAGTCCTACAACATCGCCCAGAATGAAATTCACATATCGCCCAATAGAAGTGTGCCCCAAAAGAGCACGGGCCTGGTAAACAAGGCCATGGATCTGATTTTTGGTTGGTGATCGATCAATCCAGCTGCTCTGCATCGGTAGCATTAGGTTATTTTGTAATAAAATGAAATGCAATCAATGTTTGTTGTTCGAAACCAAATTCAGCTTCAGATATTTTCAATCTTGCAACATAAAATCCTAATGCGTACGTTTATAAAATATATATATATATAGAAATAGATATAGAAATGGTATTACTTTGCCTTGCTTGCACATACTACTCCATTCACTTCACTCTAGCACTGTCACGCCCGCCCGCCCACTCATACATTTGTTATATATTATTGTTTATCCGTTAGCCCCGCTTGTGCCGTCTGGGTAGTCCACACTTATTTATTCTCCAGCTGCGCAGTCTCTAGATCCTTCATCTTCGGATAGTTGATCGAACGGCTGTCGAGCTTTGATTGGGCCCACAATATAAGCTTCAGCAGAAACATCATCTTTGGCGTCGAGTCCTCGTTGTGCTCGCATCGCAATATAGCCGCATTGAGCTCACTGGCAATCTTCTGTCTGTACGATTGCTCCAGTAGATCGGCAAAAGGGCTCTCTTGCGGCTTTTCGAATGCCAGCAGGGCAAGAGTACGCTCCAGCTCAAAACGGATGTCTTCACCCGACTCGGACAGCTTCGACTGGGCAAAGACCAAGGCCTCCTCTACCTTGCCCGCACGAATTAGCTCAATCAACTGCAGTTGCTGCAAGTGGAAAAATAAATAGAACTCGCTGCCCAGCAAGTCCGGATGCAACTGGTTGACCAGATGCGTTGCCTCCTCAATTCGGCCCGCCTGCACAGCCTCCCGTATCAAGATGCGATCATCCAAGCTGCTCAGCTCAACACTAGGCTCTAGCTCGGCTTCGTGCTGGAACTTTTCGGCTGCCTCCTTGAACCCCTCTGTGAGGAATCGAAATTGATATACATACATATTTAATAGGGAAAAATACCAAATGGATTGATTTTTCATCTCTTGCTTTTCCTAATTAGTACGAGTGTTTACCTGTGACCAGGTAGTTCATGATTAAACGATTCATGTCCGCCTGCTTGAACGGGAACTGTTCCAGCCGTTGCAGCCATTCCTCTTTAGTGATGGCCTCGCTTTTTTCATTATAGCTCATTTTCTTGTTTTTCCGTATTTTGCCAATTTTGAGGCCGTTATTTGTAACCGTTGGGAGCACGTAATGAGTTGGTTTATGACCGTCTCGCCACTTACTTCTTCAACCGTAGATACAATTACGGTATTGATTTACGATCGCACGACGCAAAATACTTTTTATTCAGCTTGTTTTCGGACAAAGCCAATGTTGCTGCTGCTAGTACCGTCACTTAGTGATGTGCATTTTATTTGCGATGTACAAATCCAGCTTTCGAAAATGCGATATACCAAATGGCTATCGATATATTCACCCAGTTAATTCAATTGTTTCCGATTATTAATTTATATTCTAAATGTTGTTTGAGGTTTAATTATTGTAAGGAGTCCTTAAGTCCATGAGCTAAATGCATATTAAAAAGTGGTGAATTCTCGCTCCGCTGATCATTTTATTATTTTTTTCAGGCATCTAATATTAGAATATATATATAATATATTGAATCTATGGTAAGTTTTTTATATCTCCCCGAACAGGTCCAGCTTCAGCTCAACTTGTGGCTCAGTTCTTCCGGTTGCCACGACGTCGCATAGAAGCTGTGCACTTGGGGCAATACCACTTGCCCTTGGGCGGCTGTGTGATGCCCACGCATGGATAGTGGAACCACTCGAAGGGGCAGGCATCATTGTCGCAGGCAACCATGTCACCGTAAGATACTTGATTGCAGGTGCAGTAGCGCGGCTCGTTGGGATCATACGACCATTCGCCTTCATTGGTTTGCTCCACAACCAACCCGGTATCGCTAATGGTTAGATTTGCGCCCGGAGCTAGCGTAGTGCTCGGTGGCAGCCCAATGGGCGCCGATGCTACGTTGTTAACTGTGGGCAGCGTGACAGGCGCTACTGTGGCTGCCACTGCAGCAGCTGTCGCATGGCTAGTGGCCAACTGATTCGATGGTGGATTGATGGCCAGTGTGCCCTGGCCAAGATTAGCGTGTTGTATGGGTGCGGCGGAGGCAGTTGAAAGCATGTCTACAGAATCAACACTGATCGAAGATGACGACGATGCAATCGAATTGCCCGACGACGAGCCATCCCAGATCTTGTAGGCTATTCCACTAGGCACTGAAATGCTGGCATTCAATTTTCTGCAAGAAAAAACAAACCATTAGTGAACAGACCCCAGCAACAGTTGAGTTTCATTTACTTCTTATGCTTCTTTTCGTGATGATGCTGATGGTGCTGATGCTGATGATGTTGGTGCTGATGTTGATGTTGGTGCTGGTGTTGCTGTTGATGTTGCTGTTGCTGCTGCTGCGGCTGTTGCTGCTGTTGTTGCTGCTGGTGCTGTTGTTGTTGTTGCTGCTGCTGTGGCGTATGATGGTGCACGTTGGTGGCCAACGTGCCAGTCGCTGGCTGAATGCTACTATTGTGTACCGCTGCTGCTGACCAGAACTCCGTGCCGCCCGCAACGCCAGCGCCGTGAATGGCTTCGTAGCTGGCCTTCAGGCTGGCCGTGCGTCTGCCCTGCGGCATCTGTTGGGTGGCAACAATCGCCTGACTGGCGGCTGCCGCAATGGCACTGGAGGCAGCGCCTCCGCCACCAAACTGATGCAGATTATAGCTGACCGTGGTGTTGCCATGGCTGGCAGTTATGCCGGCGCCCGACCCAGTGCCCGTGCCCGTCACGGAGCCAACGGTTACGTTGTTGCTGGCAGCGGCGGCTGCTGCTGCTGCTGCAGCCGCTACAGCTGCACTATTGCTGTTGGCGTTGAGCACACTGTGCGCACTGAGATTTGTGGGCAGCTGGCGCACAATGTTGGCGGCCACGGCGTTAGCGACTGTCGTGTTGTGGTTGTTATTGCTGGAGCTGGCACTGCTCGGTGCAACGGGAAGAGTGGCGTGTGTGGGTAGTGCATTGACATGATTGCCACTGACAGGATTGACAATGCTGCTGACACTATTGCTGGCAGCGGTGACCACGGGCAGCGACTGATTCAGATTGGGCCGCTTCTCCGGCACGGGCACCGTGCAGATTGTCTCGCGGCGCTTCTCCAGCTTGCGATGTCTCTGATGGCTGCCACTGGACGAGCTATTGTTGCCAGACAGGCTATTCAGTGCCGAGCTGTTGACCACCAGATTTCCGCTGGTGCTGCCCGTGCTGGTGATGATGCCCGCGGCGCTGTTGATGTTGCCCGACATTAAATTGCTGTTGACGCCGCTGCCTGTGTTATAATAGCGGTTCTCCTTTTGATTCATGCTGAGCAAGAGGGCCGTCGCAGCCGTGGAGTTGTTGCCGTCCAATTCAAGGGAGCGCTTTTCCAATATCTCTGTAATGCCATTGTTGTCTGCCTCCAGTTCACACTTGAACTTGAAGAGCTCGCTATCCAGTCGGCGCAGATAGCGCTCGACGAGCTCATGTATTTGGGTGGCAATAGCAACTTTCTCATCCGCATCCTCCATCACTTTGAAATAGTTGCCTCGCAGGCTATGGAACTCCGTATATAACGAATCGTACTGCAGCTCACCGCGTTTGCACTGTTGAAAGAACATGCGTGACTTTTTATCCAGCGAGTCCATGTCGTCTATTTGTGTGTGTCCGTGCGAGCGTGTATAACAATGGACAATATTAATGAATTATTAAATTTGTTTATTTAGTTACTTACTCTGCACGGCCAGATCTAGTTCACGCATCTCTGTGAAACGGTCTCGCAGCTCTTGAGGCAGATGCTCAATCACTGTAACACAAAATTGATGAATATTTAATGGCATTTGATTTGTGTGCACGTCTCCATGTCACTTACTTTCCAAATAGTCCTCCAAATACAACATTTTGGATTTGAAAATTGTCGAATTTCGTATAGTAAATCACTGAATTGTTGACAATTGAAGAAAAATTATACTTTTAGTTGCCAGTGCTGTAAAACGAAAGTATTATCGGAAGTTACTAGCACAGAAAATACCATATAAAAATATCGATGATGTGTCGCGTATCGATATATTCCGATTTGTTGTGACATGTTTCTGCCGACTTCTCATATCCTCAATGGTGAAATCATAACCCGCCATGGACATTTCAAACACAATTAAATTTCGTGACATTTGCAAAATGATGCAGAGAGTTAAAGAGGCAAAAACTATGCAACGCAAGGAGATCATATTGAAGCGATACTACGATTCCTTCTGCAAGCATCGAGATGCTTTTCGCCAGGGCGCTAGTCTAACGGCAAATCAAACAGAGGATGGTGCCACCAGCTTTTATCCAGTGCTGCGCCTTCTACTGCCTGGCGCAGATACGGCACGCGATAACTACGGTCTACAGATAACAGCACTGGGGCGACTCTACTCGCGCATTTTACAGGTGGCCAAAGATTGTGAGTCATCCCGTAGCCAATGCTATCGCATCCAAATAACTGATATATTCATTCCTTAGCTAGTGATTATATACGCCTTCAGAATCGAACTGCTTCCTCGTTTCGCGACTATGCAGACGTGGTGTATGCTGTTCTGCACCCTCGCTGCCACAACGAGCCGAGTAACCTGACGTTGAAGCAAATCCACGACATGCTCGACATTATTGCCAGCGAGGATACAACTGGTATTTAATTATTTCTGGATATCTAGCTGGATAACTAATGCTGCAATCAACTCATTCCATGTGCTCTTTAGTAAAGGAACGCGAACTGACACGTTTCACGGAACTGGCTTCGGCCGAAGAGCAAAAATGGTTGATACGCATCCTGCTTAAGTCGATGGGTTTGGGTATTGGCGAGCAGCGAATTTTCGGGCTGCTTCACCCGCTGGCCAAGGACATGTATCAGCGTTGTTCGGATCTAAAGCGCATATGCGTGCTATTGGCTGACAACAATATAGCCCAGGAAGCATCTTCTACGCGCGCTGTCAATGCTAGTGGTGCCACCTCCAGCACAGTCATCAATTTAAATACCATCATTGAGCCCTTTCAGCTAATACGGCCCATGTTGTGCGAAAGATTCCCGGGCAAGATCGAAAGCCTTATGGAGTCAGATGTGCTATATTTGGAAAGGAAAATGGATGGCGAGCGATTTCAGCTGCACTATGCACGCGGCATGTTTAAGTATATATCCCGCAACGGCGCCGATTATACGAGAAGCTTTGGTGGCAGCTACGAGACCGGCACCTTGACGCCACACCTGCGCACACTGCTGCCCCTGGGCATGGAGTCGATCATACTCGATGGCGAAATGATGATATGGGACACACAGCAGATGCGGTATCGCGAGAAGGGCGAGAACACAGATGTGAAGCATTTGAAACCGGACCGTAGCTGGCGACCCTGCTTTGTGGTCTACGACCTGCTCTATCTGAACGGAGAGAGCCTGCTGGACATGACATATGTGCAGCGCGCCTATAAGTTGCAGGAGCTGCTCACCGAACAGCAGGGCATTCTGCAGATAATGAGGGGCCAGAAAATCACCTCACTCGACCATTTCAACACGCTATTCCAGCAGATGCTTGACTCCAACGCTGAGGGCATTGTGCTAAAGAAACAAAACTCCATTTATAGGCCCGGAGTGCGTGTGGGCGGTGGCTGGTACAAGGACAAAGCGGACGTGAGTTGCATCTTTGAGTAGCGCTTTTCACATTAACAAAATCCTCATCTCTTTTATTAACTGGCCAGTACATAGAGGGCCTAATCACTGAGTTCGATGTGCTGATCATTGGCGGCTTTTACAATCGTAAGCGAACCTTCATCGAATCATTCCTGTTGGGCGTGCTGAAGCCGGGCGGCGGCACTGAGCGCGACGAGGTCTATAGCATCGGATGTGTGGCCAATAATACGCGCCAGCGCGGTGTTCTCCACAATGAATTGAAGCCCCATTGGCGCAATGCGAGCACGGATCCACCTCCACTGTGGTATCACTACAGGCCCAACGAGAAAGAGGGCGCTCCCGACGTCTGGATCCAACCCGAAAATTCGATAATCTTGCAAGTGAAGGCAGCGGATCTAACGCCCAACGGCGCCTACTACACGCCCAAATCGTTGCACTTTCCGCGCACGCAGATGATGCGCATTGACAAGGTCTGGCACGAGTGCATGACGCTGGAGGAATATACGCAACTCTGTCAGGTCTGCAATTCTTCTTATAGAGAGTGAAATCCATTTAAATTTATATTCGTGTTACAGGGTCGTGGCGCCATTAAGAAACTGAATAAGCGTCCGGCGAACCTCAGCGATTTTACGACGGAGCGCAAGCGCCAGAAGATCACGCCAGCCGAACGCAATCGCCTCGGACTGGCTGCCTATGAGAAGCGTTACGATGCAGAGCCCTTGGAGAGCAACTCTCAGCTATTTGAGGGTTTTACCTTCTGCATATTGAGCGGTTGCCGCGAGCATAGCAAGCAGGAGCTTCAAGTGCTGGCCGCTCAGAATGGCGGCACGATTGTTCAGAATCCTTTGCCGAACGATCCAAAGTGCATCTGCATAGCCGGTGATCCGGTTTACCTGGTTAAGCGTCTGATGCAGCAGCAGCCGCGCACAAATGACATTTTACGCATGGATTGGCTGCTGCGTGTGTGCAATAAGCAGCAGATCGACCTACGGCCCAGGGATGTGTTATCCGCAACCGAAGCGCTGCAGCTGCAATTTGCGAAGAGCTTTGATAGGTTCGGTGATAGTTTCACAGATTTGTTTGAAAGCATCGATGAGCTGGAGGAAGTGCTGCAGGACATCAGCGATACAGAGCTCGACTCTTTAGACGTGGATGAGCATGAGCTGGAAAAACTGGAGCAACAACTGCTGGGTAGTGAAAGCCTCAACATCTTCTCTAAGCATTACGCCTGCATGTATAATCGCGATGCAGACGAGCTGGCCAGGCTGCTCTTCATCCAGCGTGGCGGGCAGCTGGTTAGCGAAACAGAAGAACCGAATCCTACGCTTGTGCTCGTATGTCCCAATCGCCTCAACCCCCAAGACTTTGAGCAATGGTATCAGACACATTTCACTGCGCAGCCAGTGCAGGTTGTCAGCACGGATTGGATAAGGCAATCGCATCGCGTCCGTTGCGCTCTTCCTACAGCAGAGTATTTAATCAAATTTTGAAAATTGTCTGGCAGAGTTATAGTAGTAGTAGTAGCAGTAGGCCGTGCCGTGCCGTTCGTTAGGTTGTTTGGATAGCTTCCGTAAAGCACTCATACACTTTATATAATTCACCGACTCTACACCAAAAAAAAAAAAAACAAACTATTATTATTTAAAAAAAATTCTCTAAATTTTGATAAGGTCGTTACCAAACTCAGTAATTGTAAGTATCAACTGTATATGAGTGTCGATCGATGATGTGGATGATTGGGTTCGCCCTAGATTTCGATACCCGAGGAGTCGCCATGCTCGTCAGAACAAAACTGGAAGTGGACAGGGCCAACCGCGAAAGAGAGTCGAGTACACCCGGGCGCAGATTTGGAAGCGGGCCTCGCAAACATGGAGCACAGTGGTCGACGATATGGACGCCCCAGCGATCGCATATCGCAAATGGGAACCAAGTCGACAGCACCCAAGAAGCGTAAGGGCCAACATATCTGAATACGAGGCTGCCCCAGGCTAGAACTCTCCCTTTCCAAATACCTTTCGAGTGAGCTCCCATTAAGCATGCTGAGTGCATTCCATTGGGTTTGCTTAATATATAACGATCTTCTGATTTCCCTTGAAATAGAAGAGCTCGGATGAAATGGAAAGAGATAGCAAATAGCAAATTATGTGTCTAAGAAGGTGGCAAACGAGTTGCTTACGTGAATTTTGGTATGCCCCTCTTTAGCAATGTACTAGAACTGCAAAATATACATAACATTTGGACCATTTACAATAGATTGAATTCAATTTTATTTCATATTCAAACACATGTAAGTATATTCGGTGAAAATAATTTCAATTTAAATGATATTGGATTTGGATAACAATGCTGTGAAATTGAATTTCCACGTTAGTCCACTTGCTGTAAATGACATCAAAAATACATCAGCTTTGTTGCTGTACGATGAAACGATATATTGTATAAATATGCATTTAGGGTTCTCTAAAGTAAAATCTAGCTCTCAGCTTTACTTTGAGGCAATACAAATATTTCTATATACATTTAATTCTTTTCGAGAAAAACAGATATAGATTTGTAAATGTGAGGAATATATGTATGTGTGTATGCAATCTCTGAGATTGTCTTTAACATAGTTACGTAACACCTAATAGCATTGAACTGTGTGAAACTCTATGGAGTTGTTGTTTGCTGAAAGTATTGTAAAATATATTTTTATGGATTTTCTTGATTTTTATTTTAAACTAAAGTTTATATATGTATAGTTATATTTTTGTTCAAAACTAACTGTAGCAGCCTGTTTCATTTTACTTTTATTTTTATTTATAGTATAGATATATATATATATATATTTATTTTCAATTAATTCACGGCGAAATTCGTCAAGTTCTATGTGTTTTGTTTTTGTTTTTTTTTTTTTTTTAATATATAATAAATATTTATGTATAAATATCGCACAACAAATTGTAGGTACAGGCGTACAAATGCATATTCAAGAGGGGGCTTTCATCTTACACACTGAACCCATTCAAAATTCAGATTATAATTATTGTTGTTTTAGTTTTACATATATATAGTATATATTTTGTGGCTGTTGTTCTTGGTAATCAAATAATATATGATGTATATATATATATATTCTGTGGCTCTGTTTTTGATGCGTCTGGTAATACTTAGCCATGCGCACTTAAAAAGAAAACGAAAAAAAAAACAATAGCACATAGTTATATTCAAACTGGTGAACGGTTATATATAGAATTTAGATAACTCTTTGACTTGTGGCCTTTTGAACAACGATTACATTAAAAAATTAATAAAAATAATATGTTAAAATTACAAAAAGAAAAAAAAAATCATGTATATATAATTAATAATTATTTGTGTGCTGTTACCTCATCATTTGGATTTAAATTTAAATTTAAACATTAAAAACTTCGAACAGTTTCGAAAATAAAATATTTTTCTTTTCGTCGCGTTTTAAATAAAAAAAGTCTTTTGGAATTTTCGCATATTCATATTCGTAGGCTATAAATATTATTTCTTTACATGTAATTTATGTTTCGATTTTGCAAACCCCTTAACAAAAAACAAAACAAAAAGAAACTATAAAATAATAGAAATACATATCAAGTATATGCACATTTATACATAAGCATACATACATATATAGAGTTCAATATTTGCATAAACAAAAAAAAAAAAAAAATAGTTCGTAAATTAAATCAGACTTAAAACTTTCAAAAAGTTTCGGGACATTAACGCAACAAAATAATAATACACAAATTATACAAATTACATTTAAATTGATGTTTAATTGTGTGTGTGAGTGTGTGTGTGTGTGTGGTTTATTTTTTCAATATATATTTTAATAAAAATATATATAATTTTTTTTTGTGTGCGTTGTCTTTGCATTATTATTTAGTTGGGGGCGATTACTTGCATTTGTTTTTGCTTTATTCCTTTATAATCATGTATTTATATGGCAGTCGTTATCATTTTTGAGATAATTTGACTTTTGTTGAAAAAAATCAATTTAGATTTAACGAGAACAAAAAAAAAAGAAAAAAAAAATAATGTATATCTATAGGGTCTACAGCTTAACAAGTGTGCTTACAACGATACAAATGTGTGTGCGTGTGTGTGTGTGTGTGTGTGTGTGTGTGTGTGTGAGGCTATTTAATATGCCAATTCTCATTGTTTTGCTGATAGCCCAACAATAAGAAAATAACAAAAACTTGACAACATTTGGTCCACATTAAAAAGTGTAATTATGTGTGTGTGTGTGTGTGTGTGTGTGTGTGTTCTTCATTCTTTCTATTTATACGCTTAGGATTAGGCCTGTGTGGTTTCCCCTTATTTGTTTAAAAATAACCCAATAGTTTAATTTGTTGATCTACTGCCGTTTAAACTGCAAAAGAAAAAGACAGAAAATATATTTGTTATAATTATTATTAATATATTTATTATTATTATTTATCTTAGCATGAAATACTATGAAAATATATCACTAATAATATTGATCTTCATACTAAGTTTTCATTTATTTTTGTAAGTATTTAAAATGTCTTCTTCTATAACAAACAAGCTAGAGTGAGGTAGAAGGAATTACCTAACTAGGAGTTACCTGGAACTGTGCGCTATTTCTATTATTCTACGTTTCTTTTAGACAGAAAAGCATAACCAACAATACATGCACATGCGTGATTGCTTATTCTTCAAATTGAATGGAGCTGAATGCTTGGATATTATGAAAGGCCCAAGATACGCACTACTCAGTCACAGGAACCTGTGCAGTACATTGAAAGCCTTCAGCTCTGGTGGTATTTAAACTACGCTAAAAATAGCCAACTAATGCTATAGATTATTATCGGTAATAAGCAAATGAGCTGAGTTATCGATTAACATAATCTATTCTTATACAAACTCGTATACAAATAGAAGAGTTGGGGCACAAACTCTGTTGGCTAATGCACTATTATTGGTATTGGACAGATTTAGTACTAGTATATGGAGTAAGTACTAATTGCTTCACTTCGAATTCCTCATACTTTCCATTTAAAGCCCAAAGGCTAAACAAATTTAGCTGATGTAGAATTTCCGTATAACTTTCCTATACTATAAATTGAAGCTATCACTAAGCTTAGCCGGAAACTTGTTGGCTAGTAAATCAGATTTACTCCAGAATACTTACGCTGATCGAAGGTGCTCGGATTGATATAACTGATTAGGTCCTGGTCGGACATTGATGTCAGCTCCTGTGGTATGGGCGGCTGCACGGCGACGGCGGCGGCTGCGGCGACAGCGCCCACGGCTGCCGGCAGGATGCTGCCGGTGCTGCTGGGCGTCGTTGCCTGCTGGGTCATTACCGCTCCGTTGGTGGTAATGGCAGCGGTGGCCACAGACTTCTGCAGCGCATTCTCAGTGGCCAGCGCAACAATGAGAGATTCTTGTGGTGTGGGCGGCACGACCGGCAGATGGACGCCGGACAGCGTTGGATAGCCGGCGGCGGCGGCAGCGGCGACGGCAGCCGCCTCGACCACCACGGTTTCCGGTGTCGTGTGGTTCAGCAGCAGATTGACGAGTGGATCACCAGCGCTGGCAGCCGCATTCGCTGCCTGCTGCGGTTGCTGCGGATGTGGATGTGGATGGGAATGCGAATGAGGATGCGGATGAGGATGCGGATGAGGATGCGGATGTGGATGTGGATGGGTGTGTGCATGCGGATGGGAATGCGCATGGGCATGTTGTTGTTGCTGCTGTTGCTGTTGTTGTTGTTGCTGTTGCTGCTGCTGCTGTTGCTGGTGATAATGATGCTGCTCCTGCTCCTGCGTGTCTATAAAATCGGCGGCCGCCTTGATGATCATGTTACTGACCGCCGTCGAGGTGGCCGTGGCCGCCACCTCCGGCTGCATGACGGCCGGCGTGGGCGGCAACGTGTCGCCCACATCGACACTGACGCCGGCGGCCGCATTCGGCGGACTCATCATAATGTTGCTCAGCGCCAGGGCAGCGACGGCGGCATCCTGCCGCGTCGGCTCCGGCTGCATGGCAATGTTGTTCAATATCGAATTGGCCATGGTCACCTGGTGGGGCGCCAGAATGTTGGCCACCACCGCCGTGGCGGCTCCGTTCGCCGAACAGAGTATGGTCGACGGCGATACGGCCGGATTCATAATGATGTCAGTCGACAGAGCACCGCCGGCATTGGCCACAGCCGCGGCCGCCGGCACCGTGGCCAGCTGCTGCAGCGGCAGCCCGGCGCCCAACGCTGCCGCCGGCTCCGAGTTCAGGATGATGTCCTGCGTGATCGGCGAGCTATTCGGCGACGTTTCGCTGCCGGACAGCGAGCTCGAGTTCGAGTTGCTGCTGCTGATGGAGAGGCTGCGCTTGAGGACACCCGGCGCTGCTGTGGCCGCTCCATTCGAGTGCTGGTGCGTGTGCGTGTGCGTGTGCGTCAGCACGCTCACCTTCTGCTGCAGTATGTCGGTGAGGGCGTGGTCGATGTCCGACGCGCTGGTGAACAGAGCCGGCTCACTGGTGCCGTTGCTATTGACCACAGACGTCGATTTGGTCAGATCGTCGATGAACTTGTGCACATTGGCCGCCGCCGCCGACGACTGTTGTTGCTGCTGTTGTTGCTGTTGCTGCTGTTGCTCCAGCTGCTCCAGTTGCTCCAGTTGCTGCTGCTGTTGGTTCTGCTGCTGCTGCTGCTGCTGCTGGATAATCTCGTGCTTGACGGCCAGCCCAACGGCCACGGCCACCGAGGCGGGATCGAGGTCAACAGCGGCCGCGGCGGGCACCGGAAAACCGGGCATACTGTTCGACTGATCGTACATGATCGTGTCCAGGCTGCCCTCGCGCGCATAGTGCGCATGATACTGCAGGGCATTGGGGCTGCACGGATCGAGCGCCTCCGGCGAGTGCAGCGTCTCGGCTGTGCGCGGACTCAGCGAGCTGCTCTCGTCCAGCAGCTCGCTCTTGAGCGCCGCATCGGCGCTCAGATGCACCAGCTGCTGGTCGGTAATCATGGGCGTGGCGCCCGACAACGAGGATCGTCGCAGTCCCATCGGTATCTGTGTGGTGATCGGTGGCGGCATCATGCCCAGGTCCAGTTCATGCTTCGTCTCCACCACGCCGCCGGCTCCGGCCGCGCCAGCGGCAGCAGCGGCAGCAGCGGCGGCAACAACAGCCGCACTGCCACCGGCGCTGCCCCAGGCGCCGTTGCTGCTGGCCGGCGCACTGCTCGTGTCCATGAAGCTGGCGACATCTACAAGTACAAGAGACGCATCTTTAGTACACAGGCGGTGGCAATAGCGCGTTAAACGGGTGCGTAGAGGGGTTTGTGTTTGGGCAGGGGGCGGGGGCGGTGGCAGGTGCCGGTGGGGGCGTTTTGTCAGGGGTTGGTCGAGTTGGTCAAACAAATTAACAAAAAACGTATAGATATATGTATATAACGTATCGATAAGAAAATCATAAAATAAACAAATATAATTATTAGAAAAGGCATTAAAAATATTTATAAATATATGTGTATAAAAGAGGGCGGGACGGGAAGCGCTTACGGCTAAGGTTTTGGCTGGAGATGTAGGTAGACAGAGAGAGAGAGAGAGAGAGAGAGCAGGCGAGCGAGAGAGAGAAGGGAAGTGAGAGATAAAGAGTGGGAGAGAGACAGTCAGCCAATTGTAGTTAAAATTAGAGAGCAGTTGCTTATAGCTATGATCTATTATAGCCTACGTACCTAATAAAGAACTTAGAGCTAGAAGTAAAACTAAGGAAATGCTCTCGATTTTAACTACCACTTAGCTGGGCTATATAGGATATATGGGCAGATGGACAGCTAGATGGATAGATTTTGTGTATATTTAAATGAAAACTCTATTTTTTTTATTATAAAAAGGGTTCGTATGGTGTCTACGCTTCAAATATTATATATATATAGAGGTATTTGTATGGTTAAGTCTTATGGCAAGTAGTGCCTAAATAATACAAGCTATATATACTACATGTATGTATGTGTGTATACGTATTGGAAATTGCTTTAGTCAAACTCATTCAAAATGTTCATCAGATCAGATCAGATCAGATCAGTTACTGTTCAGGCACGCCCAAAAACACACACACACACGCACAGCTACAAGAAAGTAAACGCCGGCGATTCGAACCTATATAGATATCTGTGTACATATATGTATTTTATGAACGTGATTCACACAAATGTGGAACAATCCCGGTAAAGCACAGACGGAGTTGCATCGTACCAGATGCCATTAACAAACAAACAACTTTCTTTTATACAACGCAAAATCGCACTCACTCTCTCTCTCTCTATGTGCATCTCTCTCACTCCTTCTCGCTCTCTCCCTCTCTCTTTCTTTCGTGCTTAAAGCAATTTCCAGAGCCAAAACTTAAAACTAGTTTAAAAATTGCTCTTATTAAATAAATATACTAAGAACTTTCTAATTAGATTTTATTCCTATTATTATTATTATTATTATTATTAATATTCTCATTATTAATATATATTATTTCTGGTGTGTAATATATATGTGTGTGTGTGTTTAATTTATATGTCGATTAGTAGAGTAGAATGAATGCTGTATGGATGCCTGGTTGGGCAGGTAAATAAAATAGAAACAAAAAACAAAATAAAAATTGAAAAGAATTGTGTGTAAAAAGTGGGAATACCCTTAACATAGAGCTGTAATTGTTAACCACACCATTGTCACAGTGACAAAGGAAAAGGAACTAGTTCAACTGCACCACCACCAACCAGTTGGTATTATACAACAAAATAATACTACAAATAAGAAACGTAGTTCAGTCTTAGTTGATATTTCTCTAGGCGTAATGCTGAGGCTCTGAAGTGCGAGCAATGCTAAATAATCCACTCGTTCTAGGTGAGTCCCATCACTACCTCGTAAAGAGCGTTAACTAGTTTCTGTTGCCTGAATTGTGCAGCGAATTATCGATAACTCTATCGATTGTTCTATTGTTGTGTCCAATACTTGATGGCAACAACAAAACTTTTCGTTCAGAAGATGAATGCAATAGATGAGTGGGATTTCTTTTTGTTGTTTTTCCTGCTGATGATGAAGCAAACTGAGTGCAAGCTCCAAATAATCGATAAATCGATCATAGGTCGTTGCTATAAAGTATAAACCATTACCACTTGCAAAATGATCGATCGCCTTGTAAATGCCGAATCGGGGCTATGCGAAGCATGGAGAGCATATTTGTAATGTATCGATAAATCGATGACAAAAGCGTATGATCAATGCATGAGAGAGATATACAAATTGACATTGTATGTATATACGAGTATATTACTGCAACCCAGCCCATGTTGACATCAATGACTGAGACTTTCACAATTACTGGAATGTATACGTGTGTATATACGTACATACATATATTGTTGTACCTATATACATTTTTGATGCACGTGTTATTTTTGTTATTTCTGGATATATGTATGTATGGATATGTGTGTGTATGTATATGTATGTGTATGTATGTATGCGTAAAGCTAGGTTTAAAGTTAATTATAATGGTAGACATATATATATAGATATATAAATGGTGTCAAACGAGATCAATGGTTGAATTTTTCAATAGATATTTTTTTCAGTATTTTGTTGATCTTTTTTTGTATTTTTTGTATTTTTTTTTTTTTTTTGTATTACCAGTACCCTAAATAAATGGTGCTTAAGACGTGTTGCTGGCTCCATGTGGCTGATGCGGCGTCTCGTGCTGTCGTGCTGTATCAGTCGCTGGCTGGCTGGCTGTTGTAGTTCCCGTAGTTCGAAGAGGTTCCTGGTAGATTCAGCTGCTCCACTTGCAGTTATCCATTTGACCATTTGATGTACCAAAATATCTGGATGTGCATATATATACATATATATATATATATATACATATAAACATATATGTATGTAGAGATGCAGAGGGTGGTGATCGACCCCTGGACACATATATAAATATATATACATACATATATATAAGTATATATGTGTGTAGATGCCTGAATATAATTTTTGTGATCTAATATTTTGAATTTTATTCATATACCACATACATATATGTGTATATATACATGTATATATGTGCATATTTATATGTATATACATATATATCCGTTGTCGTTCCGTTCCAAATCAGCTGTTTGTCTTGCTTATTGCATTGCGTTGCCGATTTTAAATTTAAATTTGATAATACTTGGTTTTGGATCTTGATTTTCGTAATTGGGGAATTTTTCTTGACTAGAAATTGTTTTATTTGTATTTTGTATTTGTTTGTTTCTTTTCTTTTCTCTTTTTTTTTTTGCATTTTATAGCACTCAAAATGGTTACATATTTGACTATATAGTATATTGAGTACCTAAATTGCTAAGAAAGGGGAAGGGGAGGAAGAATAAAGTAAAAATATATATATGTATATTTTTTCATTTTAGGTATTTTTTAATTTAATTTTTATTTAATTTTTTTTTTTTTTTTGGTTGGATTGTTGTAATTAGTGTTGCGATAAAGTTTCTGCCAGATATCCCTGAATAAGAAATTGAACGAATGGCTGCCTTCTTCTTCATTTTTATCATTTATCTTTAAGTTTCTTCTTCTTCATCATATTCTGTTAATTATTATCTCTTCATCTGCATCTCCTCTTTAGTTTGCTTGTGATCGGGTATCGGTTATCAGTTATCGGGTATCGTTTATCGGTTGATGCTTCGTTAGCTGCAGGCGCTGGACATTGTGCGGCAGAAATGTGATCAAAAAAACTCTGTACTCCACACACACACACACACTCATACATGCAAAATCAGCATCCCTCTCCCGCCCTTTCTCACGCACACATAAGTATTATCGATAAAATAAAACTCCCCAAAACATAAGACTCAAGTTAACTGCAAATCCAATACTTCCAGTTGAAGTGTATGTCATTTACAGGGTATCTCAATTCGACAACATCAACTTGCAACTCACATTCACACAGCAGAGTTGTTTCAATCATATTTCTCCTGTGGCTTCATTCGGTAAGAAATCGAATGCGAGTAAGAGAGATAAATAGATTGCAGACAGAGAGAGCGAGAGAGAGAGAGAGTGAGTATAAGAGAGAGAGATAGAGTAAAGCCGAATTCGCGCAATTGTTAACTCTCCATTTTGAAAGCATCCTAGTATTGTTTCTTCAGCGTCGCAGAACTCGTTTCTTCTTCTTTATTTTTGGTTTGTTTTTGGTTTAGTTTATGCCGGATTGATTGATTGATTGATCATAGATTAAATAATTGCTATTTAACTTCTGATAAATATTACGGCCCTAATAGTTTTATATATATAGTATTTACCTTAATTTTATAAATCTCTTGTTTTATTTGTATATGGATTTTGCTTTTGCGCAGCTTTTCCCTACTTATATTTATTATAATAATTATTATCTGATCTCATATTGTGTTATCAGTTTTCATGCGTTATTCTGGCCCCTGGCTTGAACTTAAAGCAAACCCAATTTGAAATGCTCGGAATGAACTTATCTTATTCTTTCTTAGTGTAGACTGCAAATGGATTTTTGTTTATTTACTTGATTAGTATTTTCTAAAATAGTTTGCCTTTTGTTTTATTTTTGTTAGGAAATAACATGAATCGTTTCATGCAACGATGATGATTTGATAATGAGTGAAATAGCTGCTAAACTGGATGTAAATCTTTGTTTCAAAAATCGATAACTACCTCCACTGGTTTTGCTATCGATAAAAACCCTTATCGAAACTCTATTATCAAATTATATCTCCTACATCATAAAGGATAGTATCGCCTAATTTTTTTAAACATAGATTTATGTGCAATTTATGGAATTTTGATTTTATTTTTCGGAATGAAAATTAAAATTTTTATTACTGTTGCCATTCTCTATTGAGACGCCTCGTTGGGGGTGTGGTAAATTGGTATATTTACCGATTTTATTTGTAATTCATTTCTGACTGTGTGAATAAGTATTCCGCAGTCGGTTACGCCCGGCTGCAACTGTCTTGCTTATTCTCATTAATAGAATTGCAATTAAAATTGAACTAAAGTAAGTAAAATTTATTGCTTAATTGTATTCTTTTTTTTTCCTATATATTTTTTCGTATATATTTTCAATAGTTAGAAGAAGTAAAACTCGCCTAGAGAATAACGCATGAGATCTTTAAATATTTGAAATGGATTATTGCATTTTAAAATTATATATATTATTATTTAAAAATTATCGATTTATGATTTTATAACTCTACTAAATATCTAATTAGCTAAACTAACTAATTAAGTTTTGTGTTTGCAACTTTGCTTTGATTTTGGTTTTGTTTTTCGTTTTTTTTTTTTTTTTTATATGTATTTATTTTTTATTATCAAGTTAAACGAGTTAACTATTCGATACATACATACATAGGTTTGGATGATAGTTTTAGTGTATGTACATATGTATGTATGTATGTATGCATATATCTATGTAGGTATGCATGTATGTATGTATGTATTTCTTATTCATTCGATAGACTAACGTTAGTGCATTTATCTGGCCTGCCTGCGACGACTGCCTGACGACGACGGATTAGTTTTTCAATTGTCATTTAAGTGTCTGAATGTGTGTGTCTATGTATGTATGTGTATGTGTATGTGTGTGTGTGTGTGTGTGTGTGTGTGTGCTCATGTTTGAATCGCACTTAATTTGTATATGGTTCATGATGCCTGCAGGGGTCTGCTGATTTATATAGAAATAGTCAACAAATAAATACCTTGGCTATGCATTGTGCTACTTAACGTGCTGGCCGCCGCCAAAGTCGTATAGCTGCCCTTGGGCGTATAGGTGAAGGTGTGGGGCTCGCTCTTCTTGCCGCTCGATATGATTGACACCTGGACAGAGACCGGCTTTAGTATATTCTGATGCAGGTATGGCGGCACTGTGCAGATCAAATGCGTCTGTAAAAGTCAAAAGAAAATATATTTAATTATATTTATATTTATATTTATTTATTTACATTTTCTATTTATATTTTATATTTTATATTTTATATTTTATATTTTATATTTTATATTTTATATTTTATA